ACAGTAGACTGAAGGTTAATAAGGGCAAATAGACAAAATTATTAGATTATCACCCCCGCCTGCTTCAACAATTTAGAAAATATTAATGCGGGAATATTTTATTTTCTTTTTTTTTTTTCTCCATCATTTATTTTTACTACATAAAAATCAAACCATGCTCGGGTGGTTTTTGATTTACATTTGGAACAGAATTTGGAGAGAGTGTTTGATCAAGTCAGAACTAAGTTTTGAAATTTGAATTACATTTTAAAGAAATTAGAACTACATTTTGGAAAATTTGAACTACGTTTTGAAAAATTTGAATTTCGTTTTGGGAAACTAGATCTACATTTTGAGAAATTTACGCCTACGTTTTGATAAATTAGACATTGAATTTTGCAATTACATTTTGATTTTAACATGGACTTTTGCTGCGTATGGCACCCCATACCTGCCAGCCATCGTACGTTTCCGGATTATATTTCGTTGAAACCAATGTCTTAACTAGAATCACTAACTAGAAATTGCAAATTGCAAGTGAAGTGCTGCGAAGTAAACTGCATAAAATGTTCTTCGAAAAAATTATTTATGTGAGTCAAGTGAAAATAATGAATAATAAAATAAATATAACAAATAATATGAGACACGACCCATTGTCTATATTAGAACAGCGTTGGTACCGTGTACAATAGTGTTTTGCTGCAGTGACATCTCGCTGCTGGCGACTCGCTGCTGCTGGCGATGACTCGCTGCTGGCGAATAGATCTGCGCATGTGTATAAAATGGTATTTATTTCCGAAAACACTATGCCAGTCTACAACCAGCGTCGCCTAAATGTAATAATTAGCACGTTGAAATAGGCTAGTAAATAATTTTAACTGGGTTCGTAAATGATATTGGCCTCAAAATATTGTGGCTGAGACATGAGCCGATTAAACGTAGAAATAGGAAACCTAGAAATATAGTAAAAACGCTGAATAGTACTCCAGCGTCGCGACATGCGGACGTTGGTACGAGTAGGTTAGTCTACAAACGTCGCCTAAAGTAATTGATTTTACCCGGCAAAACGAAAGAAGGAAACCCCGCTTTTCAGTTGTCTTAGGCGCAGGTTTTTTGACAAACAATGACCTTTCAGAGGTCAAGAATATGAATTGGCTGCTTCGCTGCAACTACTGTAAATCATGTCACTATACATTAGGGTCTCTGCAAAGTACCCGCCAATTTAAAATAACATATTGCTAATTTGTTTACCAACGTTCTTAAAAGGTTGTCGTCATAGGCCTATTTACAGTGTAAAATAATACAGTCTAAAATATATACATTTCGATCTACGGCGGCTACACTGAAGTTGCTTATCTAGAAACAAGATTACATCCAGACTACGTTTTAACCGTTCATTTTTAACTACCAATATACGAGTCTTTTTTTTCTGATCCTGAATTTAGTTCCTTTCTTTTGTCTTCATACTTCGCTGCTTGGTTTTTCTACATTGAGCGCACTGTAACTGGCATTTTTCTGTTGTAGTTTAACTTCTAATTCAAATGAAAGGTTATAACGTATGTCGATCTACGAATGTGCATTAATAAATAATTATTTTCAGCTAAGTCAGCTAGCTGCTTTGACGCAATCGGGAAGACACCCCGATTCGTCTGCAACGCAACCAGGTTCAACCTTTCTGATAACTGTCGGCGACTGTCGCCGATAGGGTGAGCGATTCTATGTAAACTGAACTTCAATGTGTATATTCTCTTTTTAGTGTAACTCCCAGGAGTTTTACTTCACAATTAGGTTGTCTGGTAATTATGATACAAAAAACACCCTTTTAACCAGTAAACTGTTCAACAAGTGAAAGGTGGAATCGGGGGTGGGGTGGGGTGTCGGAAAGAGGACCACTGATCGACACAGAGTCATTTTTAATGCACAGGGCCTATGAAATAAAGGACGGTTGTTTAACTATGAGGTGCCAACACCTAAATATTTTTCATTTGTATAAACCTCGGCTTAATTGGCCATTTACAGTATAGCAATCCTTTTTCTCGATTAGTTTGAAATACTTCACATGAATCAAAATAACATATTGAGATGTGTCTAATCGGAGGGTGATATGTACATTTCTGTGTTTATAATGTAATTAAACTAACTCCATATTTAATACATCTTATTTTTATTATTGTTTTTAAAGTACAACATTTTGTCTAGTTAATCTGAGAAGTTTTGAACTTGGTTTCATTGTACCTGCTATCGTGTACCGATTTTTTTTTATATCGAAACCGAGCTTTAGGCTTAGCATACACGATCTTTATTTCTTTGGTTTGACATTTACATAAACAGCTGGGTCGTTATCTCTTTTTTGAATATCTTGATACGTGTGGTTCTCTGTATCTGGCTCTCCATACTCCATATAAGCCTAAAAGGAATATAGAATAATTTTACCTTAAATTAAAAAAATAGTTGAACTATATTGCAAATCATCTACCTTTTTTACGTTGAAAAAGCCTCACGGTGCATGCTGTTACTCGCTTTTGCTGACCCTTAATTGTACATTTAAAAGTCCCCCTTCGAACCTTAATTTGACTTATATTTTCCATATTTTAGTGTTCTTTTTCCAATGTTATAAAAATAGATCTTCAAAGGTATCGATGTTTATTCTCAAATCTATTTGCATATGTGATCCGCACACATTAGTTTTAATTTATATTAGGCATATGACATATTTTCTAACGTAAATTTAAATTCGTCATATTGTATAATAATCTATCATAAGCAAATGGATGTTTGCCCTTACCTGACGGGATATAGTACTGAATGCTCAGTATGCTTGCGAAAAAAATCCGCTAGTGATTCGGTTAGGGCAAACATCGATTCGTATTATTTCCAGAGGCAAAACAAACATAACAAACCATATTATATGGGTCATTCCTGTCTCTTATACACATCTAGATGTGTATAAGAGACAGGTATATAGGCCCTACGTTATTAAAACATGTTTAGTTCTCACTAAAATTGGCCTATTCTCTGTATTTATTTACACCTTGAGTACATAGGGCTACTGAAGGCCTATACCAGTCCGAAAGTCATGTACCATTCCATGTTCTCTAACAACGGAGTTAATTTTTCAATCTCCAGCAAATTTAAATAGCATCCAATCCTCCTTTTTGAAATGTAAGGAAATAGATAGTGCTTTTCCTTTGTTGGATCGATTGTAACTCCTGATTGTAGCAACCCCAAAACGAATGGTCCGGTATACCAAAAGTCATGTCATATTCCTGTTCTACAGCCAAAAGTTAGTCTAGATATCAATTTTCAGTTAATTATCTTTATTCTATTTGAAGATATGGCTAATTAAAAATGCAACTTTACAAATATGTCATAATTGATAGCTAAAAAGGGGTATGACCCTAAAATTTCAAATGGCCGTAACTTCTAAACGACTTGGAATTGGCAAGTCAAATTTTGGGTTTGTTCGTCAGACATGTTGGTGCACATTATATCCGAGTTTCATGAAAATCTGAGACGGTACCCAGCCATCCCATTTGTTGAGTTGGCACGGAATGACCCATATGTCAACGTGGGAGTAAAATTATGTTTAGATTTTTCTACTAAAATTGCATCAACAATCATGCTTTCGTTTGTTTAAATGGGTTTAGTCCCACGAGTAAAATACTTGGTCAGTTGTAAGCATAAAAAATATTGTTTTTCTGTTTAATTATTGAAAATTTCTTACCTCCGGTTGTTTCACATTGCTGGATGTTGCTACGGTTTCCTTTGAAGATAAATTGAAATCAAAATTGTTATTTTATTTATAATTCAGAAAATCAACTTTATAAAATATCTGTCTTGTAGATTAATTCCTTTTGAGTACGGTACATTTTCTCAATAAATATAATGTAATATATCAAACGTTATAACAATTGGTATTAATATAAATTTCGTGAGTTCTAATCCAAATTTTGATATAGGCTCGCGCCTATAGGTAAAGGCATTCTTTGAGTGGTAGAGTTCCATTGATCTATATTACTGACGAATAGGGCCTATGTCTCCCTTTTTTATACACGCAAAAATCGATATGAATAATACATGAATGTCGATAAGCATATGTTGCTCCCACCCACATGCCGAAAACTTAGATAGAGGCCGTGAGTTTGTCAGGGTTAGGCATCAAATCCTATGATTAGACAATCACTTCCAGAGACTCCCTGTCAAACGACTCCACTTCTTCTTTCTTTAGATATTCTATCATGTATCTCACTTGTACCTTTGAATTCTTCATTTTCCCGTGAACCACAAATATAGATGAAGATAAAAGGATTCCAATGAAGACACCTACAAACGTCATTCCAACAATTAGACCAGTATCTGCACCTTTCTGTGCCACTGGTAAACAAAATGAAATAATAAAAGTATTTATGGTATCTTAAGTAATATTCGTAATAATTAATATAGAGCATTGTGTATCAATCGAAATAATAATATATAATACTCATTTTTTTTAAACAAAATAAAAATAAAAATATATATTATACAACTGTTTTTATATTGAGAAAAGTGAAGTTGAACTATCGAAATACGTAAAGGCCTGCCTACATGTCGTATTTTGTTCATCTGTGAATGTTAATGTATTCTCTGTGGAATGAAATCCATAAAAATGAATAAAAATAAATATTCATAATAAAAATTGTGACAATATACACTTACACACGACCGAATAAAGTTTTCAATCATTCTTTTTTGACAATACAGTATTTGGTTATATTATTGTCAGTACAAGCAACAAAAGAGATCTACAAATTACATCACAGCGTAATTGGTTACAACCGGTACGGTAGTATGTAATGTGTGCGCTCAAAATGGAGGTTATTCAATTTGTGTTAGATACGTGTAACCGTCTTTCAAAATGGACATTTTAGCCGTTGGTTCCTTGTAAAACTAAGAAACAGCGGGGATTTCTATCACCACTAAGCCGTCACTCGTCACGTAGCCTATGTAACACTGCTAGTTAGCTAAGGCAAACACAGTATAACTTTACATAAATTTTCGTTTATATATCGATATAAGTGGAAAATAGAAATAATAATTTTGTCTTGTATTTTAACGGTACGTCTCGTCAATAAATAAAAATATATTATTAATGGCCTATGGCTTAACGGAAACAAATAAACCCAGAAATAACAGAATTGAAAAAAAATATATAAAAAAACAAAATAGAAAAAAAAAAACAGATAGGCCTATACATGTTGTATTCTACAGTACTGTACACATTTGGTTTGCTTTTCATAGAACAATATTAATAAAACAAATACCAAAATGAATACATAGAATACAAAAATTACGCACCTGTGGGGCAAATACATGCTACGGATGTCGGTGTTGGTGCTAATGAAAGAGAAGCAAGTTAACACAATTAAAATAAAAATACTAAGATATTATCTTAGACCACTATAAAATCGGTCTAATCATAATCGGTCCATCTCCATACAAATAGACGAAGTTACCGTATTACCGTATACAAATGAGGCAACCAGTATCACGAGAAAACCATATTCGTGTTCACCAGTGGCGTATCCGACAAAGAGCTTCTGTCCCCAGGCGCCTCCCCCCCCCCTCCATTCGAAAACTTTGAAGCAAAAAAAATTAGGCTAGGCTTATGCTTATGCTGTCACGGTTAACGTGTATTCGGGAATCTAAGAAGCAATATTTTTCAGTGGGCGTGGCCACCGAAAATAAATTCCACGCCCCCTCATATTTTAGTCGCCCCCCCCCACCAGCCCCTCCATTTTAATACTGCTAGATACGCCACTGGTGTTCACATGCTATTTTCTCTTTACCATTGGAAGGTCTGGTTAAATTCTCGATGGGTAATCTCCAAAAATATTGCCATCAGTATTTATAACTATAGTGGAAATGTTTCTCCATATCAAAGCTACTATCATGTAATCATGTGTTGAAAGAAACTTACTAACAACTGTTACTTCTACTGATTCCTGTGTTCTAATCGTAATACTGTCTAAACGTGGAACTTCAATATTGCTTAATGATGTGATTTCAGGAGCATCTTAAAAGAAAAAAATAATGACATGGAAATATTTTTTTCAGATCGGATTTTGTGATATTTAAATATTTTACCTCGTTAATAAGGAACAAAAATTCTTGTGTTAACCACGTTTGGGAAAATAATAAAAAGTGTGTATATCGGTAAAAAAAAAAAAAAAAAAAAAAAAAAAAAACTAAAATGCCAAACCTAAATTTCGTATAAAATTTGGTTGTTCGGGCGTGACCAAATAGTAATGGATACAATTAATTTAAATAAATTAAACACAGACACACGCACACAAAACACATCTACACACACACACATACACACACACATATGCGTATCATACACACACAGTTATTTTTATTGTTATTGTTTTAATTTAGTTATTTCCAAAAATGGTCATCAATAATAAATTTATCAAATATTGCAATAATTTAGGATACTTACATTGTACATCCAGCATTCTAATTTTACTTGTTTCAGTGCCCGCACTGTTACTGGCCCTGCACTGATAACTGCCGTCATTGTCTCGACTCACTGATTGAATCATGAATGTAGATGAAGCCCATGATTGTTGTACTTTACCATCCCTTAAAAATGTGTACGTAGGTGATGGGTTAGCATCTGCAAAACATGACATCTCAACGGTGCCACCTTCAGTCACAGGTGTAGCGAACGAACTCAATACGGGCTTGTATAAATCTAAAAGGTGAAGTTGTTGTGTGTAGAAAAAGTTACTAAGCCTATTTGAAAAGGTACGGTACTTTTTGCGATACTGAATTAAACTTATTATTATCATTAATCATTGGAGCTACTGATAAAGATTTCTCTAATAGTACATTAATTAAAACATATAACAATGTATAAACATGGATATGTTTTATATTTGTGTTTTGTTTTGAAAATAATAAAAAGTGTGTATATCGGTAAAAAAAAAAAAAAAAAAAAAAAAAAAAAACTAAAATGCCAAACCTAAATTTCGTATAAAATTGGGTTGGTTAATTCGGCGCGACCTAATAGTATGGATACAATTCATTTGCTGCCAAAGTTACTGTATAAGTTGCACCAATGGTGTCAAGACACAGTAAATGTGTATGTTTGGGAAAATAATGAAAAGTGTGTATATCGAAAAAAAACAAAAAAAAAAAACTAAAATGTCAAACCTAAATTTCGTATAAAATTGGGTTGTTCGGGCGTGACCAAATAGTAATGGATACAATTAATTTAAATAAATTAAACACAGACACACGCACACAAAACACATCTACACACACACACATATGCGTATCATACACACACAGTTATTTTTATTGTTATTGTTTTAATTTAGTTATTTCCAAAAAATGGTCATCAATAATAAATTTATCAAATATTGCAATAATTTAGGATACTTACATTGTACATCCAGCATTCTACTTTTACTTGTTTCAGTGCCCGCACTGTTACTGGCCCTGCACTGATAACTGCCGTCATTGTCTCGACTCACTGATTGAATCCTGAATGTAGATGAAGCCCATGATTGTTGTACTTTACCATCCCTTAAAAATGTGTACGTAGGTGATGGGTTAGCATCTGCAAAACATGACATCTCAACGGTGCCACCTTCAGTCACAGGTGTAGTAAACGAACTGAATACGGGCTTGTATAAATCTAAAAGGTGAAGTTGTTTTGTGTAGAAAAAGTTACTAAGCCTATTTGAAAAGGTACGGTACTTTTTGCGATACGGAATTAAACTTATTATTATCATTAATCTTTGGAGCTACTGATAAAGATTTCTCTAATAGTACATTAATTAAAACATATAACAATGTATAAACATGGATATGTTTTATATTTGTGTTTTGTTGTATGAATTGTGTAATTTTGTGGAAGAACTTACGTATGAAATTATACAATATAATAATATTCACCATAAATGTAGGCCTAGGCCTTATAAAATAATGACAATTGAACTATTTCAATAATGTTTATTTTTAAAGATAAAATTTCCAAATTGAAATAACCTAATTCTGAGACAATTGTTTCAGCCTAAAACTATAAAGATAACACAAAATATAAGTTTGCTTACATATAACTGTAAGTATGACATAATCAGATGCAGGTGAAGTGGGATCGTCAAGTAACTGCACACTACATTGATATGTGCCGCTGTCGCTTCGGCTGGTGTTAGCAATCACTAGTGTTGTGTCTCTTTCAACACTGAATCTCTCTCTGTATGAAGGTTGTACAAATCCAATTCCACCTTGATATTGTGCTATTTGATCAGTTACTCCATTGGCGATATTATTCCAGGTTACGATAGGATTACGTACACTACTTGAACTACTATAACCGATGTAACACGTTATTCTCGTTTCAGAGCCTTCAACTACCTCTCCAATATCAACAGTTACAGTCACAGCGAAGCATGTGCAGATAAAAACTGTAACAAATTTATATATATTAATTCAGTTATCTTTTCTTTATGTTACCAAATCGTAAACTATTAACAATTATGTTTATCAAATTATTTTGAAGGTTTGAAGGGCGCGTAAACATAATGGAAATAAGGAAACATTTTAATATAGTAGGGCCTATCGTTTCTGAACAAAAAATAGACTGTAATTCTCACAAAGTTTCGGTGAATTACTCGCGTTCTGACAGATGAAAAAAATGACTTGCGTGGGCCATAAAATATAAAAAATACGTTATCCATTTTTTTATACAGTTATACATTTGTTTATACACAGCGTGGTCGATTGAAGTGAGAATGAGCTCTATTGTAATATAGCCACTATTTCTACAAAATACAATAATCACAATCGAAACCATGGGGCAGTGGCAGCGCTACAGTCCCCTCGTCGGAGCCTCCTCGTAGAGGTCTCCCCCCACCCGCCCGGACGGACGGGGTGAAAAAAAAATTATATGTAGGCCTATTTTTACGTATTAATTGAGTCTAAAATTGATTAAATAATTCTTTGAAACGCCTAAAGCTGTCATATTCTCGGTGGTTTAGCCCCTGGTCCAATTTTGAAAGGTTCTAGTGGGGTTTTTGATATTCTTATTATGATTATTCTTTGTTGTACTTTTTGATGTTTCTGTGTTTTCTTGATATTTCATTTTACCTTTAAAGTAGTGTACTAAAGATTTCCTGATATATTTTTATATTAATATGTGTTGGACCAAATAAGTGCTGCCTTAGCAGCGCGCATTCATTCATTCATTTTTGGCGACGCCCGACCACGCCCACATTTTCCTCGTCGGGGTCATCAGCCCTGCCCCCCTCCTCCGTCGGAAACCTTGGAACCCCCGTCGGGGAAATCCTGGCTCCGCCACTGCCATGGGGCTACGGGCTCTAACTTTCAACCAAGGCATCTTTTTTATTCTCCGTGTGAGGTCTAATAGAATACTAGCCTAACTTACCATTAAAAAAGTAAATAACCAATATACAAGAAACTGTATTTACTTGAGACATGATCATCAGTTTGACACACACACACACCTATTTTAAATGTAAACATTAAGAGATAATATATTTAAACATTACAGATAATGCTACCTAATACAAATAGTTAATAAAACTAGTCAAGCTGTATGTTAATTTTTTTATCTTTATTGAAATTTTTAAGTTTTTATATTGTATCATAGTGGCAATCAAAAGGTCTATAGTTTTGTGATTATACATTTTGATGCAATCAATCAAGTAATCAATGGTCACCGTTCCCCAGTTCTGCCATTTTTAGCTTGCACTTGATTCAACTTATGACATACCGGAAATATATTTGAATTGTTTAGATATAACTAACAATGGATACAGCATGAATTACTTCACGATGATAAATATATAATTATTTTAAGTTGAAAACATTTTTTAAAGGAGGCCTAGAATAGAAAAACATCTAGTTACTGTATTGTAGCTACTTCTATTGGTTGATATCATTGACATTCTTAAAACTTTGCCCTGCAAGACTTGAATAATATTATTATACAGTAAGCTTAATTAGATACAATAACATGACGATAAATCAGCAAATATGCATATCCTGGTTTCAACCTTAACAACATTTATAATCATTTTATTTATAATCAGCCCGGTACGCAGGTTGTAGGCCAACGTCACTGTGCTTACTTAATTTACTTACTTCAAAATATCTAAGAATATAACACAAACTTACTAAGTTTTTACTTTGATTTGCGAACCTTTCGTTGGTTGAACAGGATAATGATGTAATGGCTGAAAACATATAATTTTTATTATTATTTACGCTTTAGTGATGGTGATTAACTCGTGGTGGCAGCATTCATTGGAATTCCAGTATCAAGACTTGAACAGCACTCATTTAACTTATAATCTTTCATTCAGGTTCCTATTGCTGTCGGTTGATAATATTGGCAGTGACATGTAGTGACGTAAGCTGCAGTTAGTTATAAGTGACCCTTTAATTATTCTTGCTCTGATTATTAAATAAAAACTTTACTATCCTTTTTGAAAAGTAGGTATTGAACACAAAGAGTTTAGAGTTACAACAACAATAATAATTTTGGCTTTTGGTATACCGCATTATGCTAAAGCCTCAATGCGCTTAATAATTGAAGAAGGAAAATGGGGGAAGAAAAAAAATAAGTATGTGCAAGTTTAAAAAGTGAGTTTTAAATTTGCCTGTCGGATTGTAGATGGCAAAGCAATCGAAAAGCAGGGGGAACAAAGGAATGATTACAGTACTATAATGCTTTGTTGACGGACGAACAGAATGAACAAGTAGAGACTGCTCGCTAGATCTGAGAGACCTCTTAGGAATATAAAGATGAATTAGTTATGAAATAAACGTCTTTTTAGTCTACATCTGTGTTTTGAGATGTATGTAAAGCAATAGAAAAGTTGTATCACATTAGAATTCTCGTAGGATGTGGCATGAATGAATTGCTATTCATCAAAATATTAATTGAAGAATGTTTATGTATTAGGCCTACCGTATATACTCGTGTATAAGGCGACCCCCGTACTTATTAAGAGACCCCCGAGTTTGAGAAGATTTTTGGACGATTTTTGCATGTCGGGCGTGTAGGACGACCCCCTGTTTCATGGTCAGTCAGAATTCATACTTTTCTGCTTTTTATAGTCCAGATATTGCATCTAGCTGGGTAAAAACGGATCCAAATGCGAGGCTAATCTTCCAAATAATACTTTTTTCCCTATCTAATTGGTTTTATTTTATTTTATTTTTTCCCTTCACATTCAAAAGCAAGTACACTTGCCACTTACAGGATGAGAATGATGCTTTATAAACTAAGTCTCTTTATGAGACTTAGGGAGTGGAGTTGATTTTAGTCGTGAGTAAATTCCTGCTGTGTTCATTCATATAATAACATGTATACCTTCACTGCAGTACTAAATTCGCATGTTTTACGGACGATCCGCATATAAGACGAACATAGTTTTAAAAAAATCTAAAATTTGTATATTGAACGTATAAGACCACCCCCTCTTTTTCTATTATTAAGTGATTAGCTATAGTTTAAGCCTCGTCTTATACGCGAGTATATACGGTAATTAAGAAACACGGTATTATCAGTTGTAAATTTGGTACGGTAATCGACAGAGAAAAATCTCAGACTAAATTTTGAATGATTTGATTAATTTATTTTACCTCAACATATAAATACAACATACAAATATAGAATAACATGGTCAGGAACAGTTTAAGCAGATATGTTACTGTAACTCATTTAGAGGCAGCTGCCCCTCATATAAAATATAACATAAAATACATTAATTAAATATTTAGTAACAGTATTTAAAAAAAATATCAGTTTATTATTACAATAAATTAGCATTACAAATATTGGCATTGTTGTATTGTTACTACAGGAGTGAACATTCACTGTCCACCACGACAGTTTTATCAAGTGTGATGTGACGTCATCTCCCACATTACAGGACCCAATGAACATGAAAGTCGGGAATTAATATTTGAGTGCATTTTCTATTTTTCCTGTCATTGTTTAGACATGTACGGTTAGATATCTTATCGTTGTCGGTTATTGTATTATTCTCACTCGTTAACTTGTTGATTTATTGCATTGCACTATTTCTATATTAATATGAGAACAATTAATTACTGATATTTAGACGAACATGTAATAATAAATGAAACACGTCATATGAACATTAACAATCATGTTCTTCATACGTTAAAAACTACATGGGATTTTTTTTTTATATTATTCATTCATCAGCCGACTATCGGCAGACACAGTATAGGCCTAAGCACAACTTCACAGTTAACTTCAAATAAATTGTAGTTGATGTTGATCCCTGCACATGCGTAGGCCTGTATTGCTTTAGATCGTAATGTACGGTACCTGACCTCCAAATATTATGCACATTGCTTCCTTTGGAAAATGGTCTTCGGTATTTCCCACGAAGTGGAGGCCTATAATTTCCACATAGTATCCCGTATTTTATCGATGACAATGGTTGTCTTGTTACGACTATTATGTGACTAACTCGTTTATCATCTACATGATCCGTTAAAATAAAAATATTAATTATAAATATATTATTTTTTTGGTTTTACATTTATATAAACGACTGGGTTATCATCAATCCAATGTAGATCTTCATACGTCTTGTTCTCTGCACTCGGCTCATTTCTATACGACATGTATGCCTGCAACATAAAGAATAGCGAGTGTTATGTTATAGGCTTAATTCTTAGACATGAGATCATACCGAGGCTTACTAACAATCGGCAGTAAATATGACAGTCATGAAGAATTTCCACCCACTTTTATTTTTTAAAGTTTTTTTAAGAAACAAATATATTGGAATCACATACCGTAGTATTTGAATTATCATAAGGCGCATGTTTTGCTACAGTGATGAAGATTTTCCATTATTTTACTTTTGTTTTTATAGATTCTTTAAGGAATTATTGGAATTACTGTGAGATAGCTTACCGATATAGCTAGTTTGATAACTATAAAATTGTGTAAAAAATAGTAATAAGCTAAGATGAACAATGTGTAGTTAATTTTCAAGCCAAGTTTTATGCCTACTTTGTATTTTATCTGCCGCACAATAGGCCTACCAATGATATGGGTGACCTCTCCCTTGAAAAATAATATCGCCTAATTTGATTCTCAGTTATTAAAATAATATGTGGAAGATATGTGAGAAATGTAGGTCTATTTGTATTTAACTTAATAAAATATTTTTATAATGTCACCTATTAGTAACGCGTCACTGTTGGTTAAGTATTTGTAATTTTGTAGAATAGTGCTCAGTTTTAGCCTAAAAGCATTTTTCTGCACAATTATTGTGAATGCAGCATTTCTTACCGCCGGTTGTTTCACGTTTTTGTAGGTTGCTTTGGTTTCCTTTAAAGAAAAATGTAGAAGCCACAATAATTACTTTGTACATCATACGAAAGAACGTTTATAAAAATTGTTTTGTCACAAATCATCTTCATCTTTTGTCAAAGGCCTAATATTGTTGAATGCTACGGGTAGTTCGTCAACTAATACGGTAATGAGTGAAATAATGAAATCCCATCAACAAACAATAAATATGTTTGTAAAAATGGAGGAAACCAACATCCAATTTCTAAAACACAAGCTTCCAAATTAATAATCGAGGTTCATTAACCTAAAAATATTGATGAGGATTCTTCTTCAAGGTATGAATAGTACGGTATGTCGATAAATTGTTCTCAGCTGCAAGTGCAGTGAACTCAAATGCGGACCATAACCCGTAAAACTGCAGAGTGAGCCCATAGGAGGAGAGGGGAAGGGGCCTTTAGCCCATCGAGAACAGCAAACATAATAAGCACAGGTCAGCCTAAAACGTAGACAATGGCTCAGGGATTGCCCCAGCAAGAGGGCCGGGGGTGGGCCCCCATTCGGGGAGAGCGCTGCCCCCCCCCCCGCCGTCGGGGAGAAAAACCATAATTTATCGTGTGTGCCCAAAGGAGGCGAGAGAGATCTTTAGCCCATTAGGAGCCGGAGCACTAATATGTAAGGTCAGGTTGAAACTTTAACAATCGCTGACTACCCAAGACCCCGCAGCCAACGACCCTAATAACAAAGTAAATAAATAAATAAAGTGTAATATAAAGTCTTAGTTAAATTTATGTACTGTATTCAGGTAGCTCACCTGTGCCTTTGAATTCCTTATTTTTCCGTGAACGACAAATGCAAATGAAGACAAAAGGATTCCGATGAAGATACCGAGAAACGTCATTCCAACAATCAGACCAGTATCTGAACTTGAATATTTCTGTGATACTTTTGTATGTAATAATAATGAGAATTAGAAAAAAAAAACCACGTTGACAGTTGAAATAAATTTTACTTAATAAAATACCAAATAAATAATGTTAAAAAATACGTACCTGTGGGGCAAGTAAATGCTACGGATGTCGATGTTGGTGCTAATGCTAATAAAAGAGAAACAAGCTAACATATTATGAAAAACAAAAAGTAGCAAGATTAATATATTCGAGTTTAAATGTTCAAATCTCTCAAAACAATAAGGTCTTGATTTAAAATCTCGATCCTTGAAATTTAACATCATTGTTTTTTAATGAGTGGAGGTGTAGGAAGTTACTATCATGTGATCATTTGTGTTATAACTTACCAACAACTATTACCTTTACAGATGTCTGAAGTGCTCCAATCTCGTTGCTGACGTTTGCTGTTACAGTATAACTCTCACCAATGTTGTGAGACACAGTAAATGTGTATGTTACTAGTTCGTTATCAATGTCTGTTGTTGCTGGCGTTGTTTTCCATGTATAGTTAGCAGTTGGGTTGGCAACAACATCAAATGTAATCGTAACAGTTTCTCCAGGTAAAGCTTCCATATTCAATGGTGCGATTTCAGGAGCATCTTAAAGAAAGTCATAACAGAAAATAATTTACAGATGGGATTTTATGACTTGAAATAGTTTATCGCCACAATTACCTTTCAGTTCAATATAAACATCTACACACCCGCTCCACATATAGCTTTATATGTACATAATAAAAAAAATGTTACATATTCTTATTTTAAGATGATACATTGTTTATGTGATACAATTTTGTATTTTGCATAACACATTTATTTTAAGTTTGTGCACACTTGCATTCATAATCAGTGTACCACGTCACACAGGGCTAACGCAAGCCATGTTTGAGTAAGTCGTGTGTTTCATTCTTGAAATCATGGACTCACTGATTGAATCCTGAATGTAGATAAACTCCCTGATTGTTGTACTTCATCATCGCTTAAAAATGCGTACGTAGGTGATGGGTTAGCATCTGCCGAACATGACATCTCAACGGTATCACCTTCCATCACAGGCGTAATGAACGAACTCAATGCAGGCTGGTATAAATCTAAAAGGGTATTAAATGTGTGTGTAGTAAAGAAAAAGTGAACAGGCCTATTTGATCACATTTACGTTTTCCTACACAGCAATACAACTATTAACATCTTCGGCCATTAAACCTCTCTAATAAGACACCAAATAAAACATGTGTACTTATATTTGTGTAGAGGGCATATGTATCCTTTTGGCAATAGAATACATATCAATAATTTCAAATTGCACATATGTAATGGACGTACATCTGGAATATAATACAATATAATAACATTCATCGTTATAGGCTTCATGAAAATAATAAAAATATATAATGAAATAAACAATTTTTATTCTTAAGGCAAAAATTCCGAATTAAAATAGCTTAATTCTGAGGCAGAGGTTTACTTGCATATAACAGTGAGTGTGACGTCATCAGATGCAGGTGAAGGTGGGTCGTCAAATATAACCACACTACATTGATATGTGCCGCTGTCGCTTCGGCTGGTGTTAGCAATCACTAGTGTTGTGTCTCCTTCAACACTAAATCTATCAATGTATGAAGGATCTACAAATCCAGTTCCACCCTGATATTGTGCTATTGTATCGCTTGCTCCATTTGTGACATTATACCAGGAAACACCAAGAACAGACGTACTACTTGAACTACTTCGCACGATGTTACACATTATTCTTGTTTCTGAACCTTCAACTACATCTCCAATGTTATTAACAGTTACAGTCACAGCAAAGCATATGCAGGTAAAAACTGTAAAACATTTATATTCAAATATAAACAATACCTGTACCTAATCGTATTTTGTAATAACCAGTCGTATTTTGTAATAAACTTGTTGTATTTTGTAATAAAACATGTCGTATGTTGTAACAACAGACTTTGAAAACTCTCTGTTGTATTTCTTTGAATAACGCCCTGTCGTACTGTATTATAATGCAATAATAATAATCTTTAAAATATCAAAAATAACTAAAGTATTAAGAAAAATCATTGATTATCTTTGTGACAGATGCTTAAAAAATGTATTCAATTATCACTGACAATACTCATCTAATAAATAAGTATACCGGTACAATTTTTAATAGATCAGGACCAGATAGTCTTATATCTTTTTTAGTCAATAATATTTCAGCTTATCTACTTTTATGGTATACAACTCATTATTATCTTCTACTAGAGTACTATATATATTGTATATTATAAATTTAACTTTAATTTAAATATTTTGCACTGTATTATTATAGATTTTATCTGTGTATATTTGTGTGTATTCCTTGCTCTGGAAAGCAAATTTCATATACTTTGCTTGATATGACAAATGAAATCTTGATTCTTTCTGAGCCGAGCTGTCGTACTTTGTAATAAGTCTGTCGTACTTTGTAATAAGTCTGTCGTATTTTGTAATAACACTTTAACCACCTCTTTTCTTCTAAATACTAACATGTTAAAAACTATTTTCATTTAATGCATAATGAGCCAACACTGTATAAGATAATGTGTAGCTTTATAAAAATGAGTTATTTGTATAAACGATAACGTTCGGGGTAAGTTTTGAAGGTCATGTCATAAGGCTCATTAATTTTGCCGAACCGTTCCAACCACAAATCAATAATAGAGACGAATGCTTACAACTAATAATAATAATAATAACAATAATAATAATAATAATAATAATAATAATAATTATTATTATTATTATTATTATTATTATTATTATTATTATTATTATTATTATTATTATTATTATAACAATTTATAAAGCACACATCTCCACCAATGGTGCTCAAGTCGCGGTGTCAGTTACACCACAACATTAAACAAAATCCGCATTAAAACGTGCATTTAGTTATCTTTGTCCTAATTTTTATAATAATTTACCAATTGAGCTCCGGGACTGCAAAATAGAAAATACATTTAAACTTAAGTTAAAACGATATATTTTAAACTCTTAGCCGTTGTTTATTGCAGTTTTATTGAGCTATTCTTATTATTACATTGTTTGATTTTTTATTTTATATTATACTATATTATATTACATTATATTATATTAGGCATAAATTAAACTTCTATTTTGAATTTTCTTTATGTAAGTCAATTTAATACTTTTAAGAGTTGTTATGAGGATTGTATGTTATTATTATTATTATTATCATTATTATTATTATTATTATTATTGTTATTATTATTATTATGTTGTAATGATGTTGTTTGTACTGTTCTTTGATTTTATTAAAGAGGGCCCCTGAATATCAGTTAACCTACTGGGCTAAACTGGAAGGGTTACCCTCTTTAAAGATGGTTGAAATAAAATAAAAAAATAAATTCCCAGAAGAATTTCAAGCAAAATCCGTGTACCAATTATCCCATCGAGACATTGTTTCTCCCCATATAAGTATACACTTAACTACTGATTCATTAAGTAAGGGTTATTTAAAAACAACATTGATGGTCCACGCGCCATCCTTATGACCATCATTGGTAAACCATTAAATTAATGCTATTTTTTTTTATGTAGAAACATTATTCTTTACCTTTACCTTCTTTAATACCACTAATGACCTCTGACTTTGGAAATAATTTCTGACGATCCCCAAGAAGGAGGTATTTTTATTAGGCCTACAAACCATTTTAGGTAATTTTTAAATGCCAAAATAATGGTTATATTTTAAATGATCCCCGTGACATTTGACCAAGTAACGTAACTCCGACGGTTTCCAGTCACAAGCCATTGCAATCACATTGACTTTTCTGACCTTGAAAATTATTTCCGACAAGCAGGAGCCATCTGTATTTGGCCTACATCATTTTTTATAATTTAAAAATACAAAAATGATGGTTATTTTTTAAATGATCCCAAGTGACAATTGATCATACCGTACTAACTTCTTAAATTAATTCTGAATACAACCTACATTATTGTAAAATGGGAAAAACATGTTAATCATATTAAATTTGACCTCTCTTTATCACACACCTATACCAAACAATCATTAACACAAATATTTTATTTAGTCCATCAAACATTGTAAAAACTAATAGAAGAAAGAAGTATTTTCGATGGATTCCAAAATGCTTACCCCTTTTTCATTTTCACATTCACTGATTTGATTTGTTTAACTTAATTGACATAACTTAATTATTTCGACTGTATGTTATAATGTTAATTTTTTTAATTGTATGTTGAGTTGATTTTGAAATAAATGATAAAATGAAATGAATGCGACAGACAATGTGACCTTTGACCATTAAAAATCATTCAAATAAGTTGTTAATTAATCCCTCAAAACTGCAAAAATGTATAGAAAAAAATATGCATTTAAAATGTTATTACAAAATACGGCAGCTGTTTTGTTATAAATACGACATGGTTTGTTACAATAGATTATTACAAAATGCGAAAAGTTTACTACAAAAATACGACACTCCTACAAAATACGACAAAGTAAAAGGAAGTGGGCCTATGTTTTTGAGAAAAATTAGTTGTCCCACAGTGGCGTAGTTAGAGGGTTTGTCGCCAAGAAACGGTAGAAAATTGCGCCCTTCCTCCAATTAT